ACATTTTCTTACTGTATATGATACTTTGATTTTTAACTTTTTTTCATTGAGTATTTCTTTCAGATGCTGGTCATGGCTTATTAAATTGATATCATGAGCCACTAGTATATTGTAACTGAAGTTTTTAAAAAAGCACTGTTGTGATGTTTAGAAAACTAGGAATTAGCTCCTGAGATCATTATTGGTAGTTATTGATGATACACACATTTATCTTTAGGGAATATTGCAGTAGATGAAGTCTTAGGCTAGGAGAAAATACAATCGCTAAGTAAAAAGTTGTTTCAGTCATTAGAAGAATCAGGGAATTACTCTAAAGAACTTAAAGTTTGAACTCTTCCTGAACTCTTTTCTTCCTTTTCTCCTTTGTCAGCCTTCAAACAGTGGCCGAGCTGCAGAACTCCTTGCCAAGGAACAGGGAACAGTTCCTGGATTTATTGGTTTTGGAACATCTCAAAGTGATCTCGTCTATGTTCCAGCTATTCAAGGAGCTGAAGAAATAGACAATCTTGTAGATTCTGATTTCCGAATGGTGCTGCGGAAACTTTCCAAGAAAGATGTCACAACAAAATTAAAAGCAAGTTTACTTATTTTCATAAAAATAATCAAAATCTTTTTTACTAAAACAAAATATCATTGGCATATTTTATGTAAAGCAAAATTAGCAATAATGTATCACTAGTAAGTTCCTTTACAAATAAAAGTTTCTACTAGAACAGCCTGTAAGAGCATTCTTCAAATTAGTTCCACAAACAGAGATAACATGTTCTTCCATTACTTAAAGTGGAGTGAGATTCCTGAATAGAAGATGTATAATCAATAATAAATATTGTGTGTTGACTGTTAATCCCTAATAATGTTAATAATTTACCACTAGGCTATGCAGGAATTTGGAACAATGTGTACAGAGAGAGACACAGAAGTTGTAAAAGGAGTTCTTCCATACTGGCCAAGAATCTTCTGTAAAATTTCACTTGTAAGTTTCACAACATTACTAGCTTATTTCTGTTGTTATATTTTGGTTGGAATAATGGGGAGTTTTAAATTTAGATGATTTACTTTGGGGTCCTCAGGTGGCACTGTAGAATAAGTGCAGGGCTGCAAAGGTTGGTTTGAACTGTAAGGTTGGAGGTTCAAACTCACTAACTCCTTGGAAACCCTATGAGGATAGCTATGAGTTAGAACGGAATCCAGGGCACTTAACAACAACAATGTGAAATATTTTGTCAGTATTGTTATATAGATTAGATTGTGTTGGGTTGTATAGAGTGTTGTGGTGGTTGTTGTTAAAGTGCCATCAAATGGAGTTCCCACTCATAGGAACCCTGTATAGGGTTTCTGAGGACTGGCTGGTGAGTTTGAACCACTGACCATGCATCTCAAACCGACCTTGCGGTCCAGTGCTTAAATTACAGTGCCACAACATGACTTCACGTAAGGAGTATTTTTTTGTTGTTAAGTGCTGTCAAGTTGGTTCCAAATGTTTAAGTTTTCTAGGGAGCAACTGGTGAGCTTGGACTGCCGACCTTGTGGTTCAAACCGATCTTAGTTCAGTGCTTTAACCCACAGCACCACGCCAGGAGAGAGGTTTATTTTTTTTTGGAAATTTGGTCATTACTTGAAAATTATTGGATGCTTTCTTTCCAATCATAAAAAAATTCTGGGATTGTTTATTTTCTTATATACTTGTTACAGAAGAATGAGAATGAATTGCTTATTTAAGGTCCAGCTTTGAATCTTAGAGAGTCTTTCTTATCATGATTAAGAGGGTAATTAAAAAAAAAACCTAGGGTTCCATTTCATACATGTAGGGGTTTATTCCAAATACAACACGATTAAACATGTCTCTGTGATCAGTGAATAGGTGGTAAACAAATTCTCTCAGTAGTATGATTGTCTTAGTCTTATTAGGAAATGTTCAATAACAGGATACTTCTTGTGCCATGCGTAAAAACAGTTTTAAAGTCAGGGCTAATATGAAATTTTAGTAAAACTCAAGTGGATGTCTTCCTAAGTTATTAAAACTTTGCAGCAAGTTTATAGGATAACTGTCCCACAGAAAACAATAGTTTTTAGAAGAATCACATGTTTTAAGGAAAATTGGGAAGACCTTAAAGATGAGGCAAGAGGGAATATCCTGATGAATGAAGGAACTGGGTGAAGCCCAGAAACTCATGGAGGAAGATCATAGAATTACCACTGATGGGATAGCTACTGAAGTTTTAGGACCTCACATGGTTCGTATTTTCAATTTTAAGTGAATACCTTGATCTCATAAGCTGTTGGCTGAATGTATGCCAAAAGCATTGCGTGAAGATCACCTAGCTCAAAGAGCTGATTTTTTCCATTAATCTATTAAGTATGACCAAAGCTGATGAAAACAATTTTATGGAATGAATCTTAACCATGAGTAAGCCTTGGATTTATCAGTACAATCCAGAGAGCAAAGTCCAATCAAAACTGGCTTTTGTTTTGAAGCTGGACCAGTTAAATTCAAGGTAGAGAGGTCATCTCAGATGGTTTTAGTTACTGTTTTGGGGGCGTACCAAAGGGGTAATCTTGATATATTTTCTAACAGAATATAGGATGATCATGGGCGCTTATTGTGAAGAAGATTTTAGGAAATGGCAAACTGTATTAGTGAGAAAAAGACCAGGAAAATTGTCCTGAGGAATTTGTTTCAATCACAACAGTGCACCTGCTCATTCTCCCAGGGTGACAAGAGTTGTCTTGCTCTCAGTTTTATAAGGAAACCGTACTCCAGCCACCCACAACACTGGTCTGGCCTCGCCCTGGTCTTGCCTCTTCAAACCGTTTTTTTTTCTTTTTTTTTGTTCCCATAACTCAAAAGAACATTTCAAAGGAGCACAATTTGAGTCCCTTGAGGATGGTCAAGTTGTTGTTTGATGTAGTATAAAGTGAAGCTGCTCTTTGGAAACCCCCTAAAGGGTCACTGTGTGTCGGAACTGACTCGATGGCAATTAACAGCAACAACAAGAAGAAAACGGAGAGTACTGAATTCTTCAGGGAAAGATGAGAGATTTGGAAATAGTGCCTTCAGAAGTATATATAGATCTAGATGGAGGATATTATGAGAAACAGCTTTACATTTTAATATTTTTGTTTAATAAAGGTTTCTATAATTTTGTAGCAATGTGTTTTTGCTTTAGCTTTATCAAATGTCTGATAAAATTTATTATTTAAAACAAATCAAATTCTTAATGCTTTTTAAAGTCTGATTTTCATTTAGCTATAGGTGAATTCCTAGTAATGGGACATTATTATATCATATCCAGAAATGTTTGCATTTATATTTATGGGCTAACATTACTTAAAATCACAATTATTTTTTCAATAGGATCATGACCGCCGTGTTCGAGAAGCCACACAGCAAGCTTTTGTGAAACTCATCCTTAAAGTAAAGAAACATTTGGCTCCCTATTTAAAAAGTTTAATGGGATATTGGCTGATGGCTCAGTGTGATACTTATACACCAGCAGCATGTGCAGCAAAAGATGCATTTGAAGCAGCTTTCCCTCCAAGCAAGCAACCTGAAGCCCTAGCTTTTTGTAAGGATGAAATTGCAAGTGTAAGTTCTTGGAAGCATTTTGTATGTATCCTTCTTTCTTGCTTTTTCAAGTTCATACCCAGGGTCATTTGAATTTCAAAATTGGTGGTTCAAACTCAACAGCTGCTCTTTGGAAACTATACAGGGTTGATAACTAGGTTATTATGAGTTGAAACAAACGTAATGGCACACAACAACAACAGCAACAATAAAAGACATAAGGCATATTACAATGGCTCCTCTTTTACCTTGCTTGGGGAATGAGTAAATGAACTGTATTCAAATAAAAACAAATAGAAGGTTGTATAACAAAATTAACCATTTTGGATTTTCACTAAAAGTAACTTGTTGAATTGAATTTTTCTAAAATACTGAAATTTTCCATTTTTAATTTATAAAATTATAGCTCAGAACATTTAATTCGTGAGCAGAAGCTGTGCATATTTTTTCTCATCAAAATATTGTCTTAAAATATTATCAGAC